TGCCCATCCATCTCCCACGTCCTTCATGTTAGCTGCCGTACCTGGCCGAACGTCCACTTTGGAGAGTTTCTTGGCAATAAGGGTATTTCTCATCGAGTCCAACGGCTCTACGGCAATAATTTTGTACCCTTCCGGTCTGGCAGACAGAAGCTCAGTGAACTTGCCAGTGCCAGCTGCAAGGTCTAGGATATGGCGTCCAGATTGGCCCTCGAGACCGAGATGTCCCAGAAGACTGGCGACAGCAGCAGGGGGGTAAGAGGGCCGGTGCGCGTCATAAGACTGGGCGTCATCAAAACCTTTGGTTGCAATATCATGAATAGTCTGAGATGTCATTTTTGGTGTTACTCTTTAACAGCTTGTGGTGTCTGGACAATCTGTCGTTGATATTCAAGTGCCTTAAATGAGACAAGCAGCTAATTCTAAGGGAGTAAAGGAATTAGTAGGTGTCGGACATGTCTTGGAAGCCTTTTATACTATTACCCAATGATCTCCCCCGCGCTTCTAGGTCCTTGGGTACTGGTTCTCCAGAGTTCAATGATGTGATGGCACTAGATCTGGTTCCCGATGTCGTTCCACGACCCTAGATCCCGCGGGAACGAGCCGACGGATTTACGGCGGAGCCCCGACAGATTTAAAACAACTAGATAGCACCTCAATGGCAATCAGAGAAATTGGGCACTTGCAAGAATTCGTGATGATTTGCTAACTGCTCGACGATTCCGATATTAATCGCCTCTTCTCTGATCTGAGGACTCTGGGGTGTTCGCCTGGCATTGCCACGCTTCCCGTTGATGGCTTTCTCACGTGTGGCAAGGCATTTAGCTGCTCTATACTGAAGATGGTGTCTGATACCGAGTGTCCTTTCCCCTTCTCGAAAGCTTCTGTCTGGCTTACGGTAGATCTTGGTGGTGTTTGTTCTGGCGTAATGAAGTCATCGTTGCAACTGCTAGATGATCTAGAACCGGTGTGGTTGCAGTTCACCTGTGAATTCCGTCGGACAATCGAGTCAACTTGAGTCTTCGTCATTGAACTGGCTGGGTCGACGTGTTCTTGCTGGTTCTGGACGCCATCTGTTGAAACAATGCCATCCTGCTGAGATGTCTTTGTGGATGTTGGGTAACTTGGCGTCGTTTCGGAGTCGAATGTGTCTGATAGACATTCTGATGATCCTATGTCTACCATTTTCCCCTTTCCTTTGGATATTCTAATGCGCCGACCAACTTGAGTTGCTACTGGTGTGAGTTGGCATGGCCCAGGCGAATTTGGCCTTGAGATCCAGATGCCCTCCACCTCGACGCCGCTCAGAATAGCACGAACACCGAAAGGAATCTCGGGAGCTCGCATATTTTCGATGCCGCAACGTGACATGAGGGAGATTCGTGCGCGCTTCTCCTCGTCGATAATCTCAAGACGGCGTATGGCTCGGTTAGACCACCATAGTTTCACAAGTCCCATGGCGAAAACAAGAACGATGCAGCACCCCAGAACCTACAACTTGCAGTTAGTTATTGAAACGATGCTTTTCGAAGTCAAACTGTCCATTGGTAGGTACAAGGATATACGTACGAAAGTCATCTCTTGCCAGAGATCCCAATCCACAAAGAAGGCAGTCATGATGAGACTTGATACTATGAAGTCTAACAGAGGCTCCAAGGGAAAAGAGAGTACAGAATATGCTTCAACTTTACAAAAACATTCAGACGATTTGGATGTTTGAAAGGCTCCAAAATTGTAACATGACAATCCAGGTTCCAAAAATGAGGGTGAGTGGGTGATGCGTGGTAACGAATTTGGGCGAGGAAGCAACAAGAAAGCCAAGCCAAGCTCTAAACGAGCCTCGTGAGTGCCATAGCCAGATTATCACGTGTCATTGTTGATCGAGACGGGACTGTTGGGAGTGCAAGTGCGATGAATCGTTTGGAAGTTACCAATATTCACTGACATCGGTAGGCAGGTGCGGATAGGCAGTGGCCAGTGTCACTCGGAGAATGAACCGGCAGCTCTGTCCCGTTCGGTGAACACCTTGACTGGTACTATCTAACCGAGATGGAACAGAATATGCGTGTTGAAAGAGACTTTCACTGAGGTTTGGAGAACATGTTCTACCTACTCAAGGAAGATAGCAATCAATACCAGATGGGCGAGCGAGCCGGCATGAACCGTCGAGGCTTTTCTCGAATACCTACACATGGTCGGCTGAGCTGGACAGATTGCCTAGATAGGAGAGAATGAAGGCAACCGATTGCAAGATACCAAGTCTGTTTGTCCAGGTTGTTTGTATCCAGAGGATAATGAGCCAAGGATGTAGTATCAGAAAACCGCAATAGACAAACTAAACACCCCATCAACCGTCGTTGGCATGCTGGTAAGCGCTGCCCTAGTCTGATCTGGTCTTTGGAGCATTGAAACATGTTTCGGGTAGCAACAGGTTCCAGCCAAGTTGACATAAGTTACCGTATTACACGGGAAAACGTGACGGGAGAGACATATGTCTTCTGAAGCAGTGTAAGGTAAGGTAGGCACTTTGAGGATAGTTTATTTAGCATGCTCGAGCTTTATCCCATATATGACTTTGTGAGTACTCAGTTGAGTCTTTAAGAGGCACTTCGTGATAGACACCTAGGTAGGTAAGCCTCCGGAATGAAGAAAGTCTACGGAGTAGGACTCGAGAGAATGCCAAAACAAACCCACCAAAGAGTCATGCAAGTCTAGGCTAACTTGGCTAAATATTATGTACTGTCGCTTAGGAACAAGCGCCTAAACTTTCTGGCGTCCTCTGAGGTAAGGTACTAGGTAGGTAGGTATGCATGTTGGGTGTTGATTGCAATGAGATAAGCAAGCTATATGGTGTTGTCTCGCCTGAGTCATGAAAACAGTTTTTACATTAGTATCTAACCCGTCTCTTCGAAAAGAATGCCATAACCGTAAGCTGAGAAAAAGTTTATTAAAGGTGTTAGTCTGCCCAATTACAATTGGATCATGTCACCATCGGCGTCGGGTGCAATTAAGGCCCGGGACTTGAATTCGGGTGTTAGTGGGTCACTGGCAGCACCGATTGAAGGCCGGATCGGCGTTTCGGGTCCTCTCAAGGGAGAAGGCTATGCTCTGAGGATCGACCCACCATTCGGATATCCCGGACATTGGCTCTGGACCACTTTACCACTGTTACAATCAAAGATTATGACCACTAAAAGCGTTGTGCGCACGTATGGGGAGATGGCCAATTAAGTAGAGAGTCAAAATCAGTCCTGACATCAAGACCTACCGTTAGCGACCACCAACTTGGAATCAATGAGCCTTTGAAACTGAGTCTTGGTGGGATTGGTCCTGAATCAGGGAACCATCGACAAGTCGTCATAGGGACCGGACCATCAAACCTCCAACATCTAACTTTCACCATCCCAAACAGGATCAGGCACGTTATCTTGGAACAAAAACGGAACAGGGTGCCGCAACGTTGCCAAATTCGGGACAGATGCCGCGCCAGGTTCATTGCAGACATGATTGCCATCTCTTCTGGGAGTCTGCCTTGGTTGGTGAGGTGTCGATCAGGATGCCGTCCGTCTGCTGCAAGCCTTGATTCAGGTGATCTACTTATGTACTGTATCGTGCCGCCAGCATCGCTATCTAAACACAGTTTATCGTATCAGAGATTATCAGCGGCCCGGATCTTGCTTGTTGCGATTCCTGGTGTGTGAACTGTTGTTCTGCCACGCCAATAGGATCGTTGTTGGACGATGGACCCGATGACGGTAAGCGTTCAACCCTTCCAGTCTTGGCAATTGTTGGTGTCAATCAAGTCCCTGAACTCCGGGGGGGGCCAACCTGGGACCTGACCCTAGTGCTATGCTGATCTGCTGGCGATGCTCGGCTGACATGCAGTTTGTAAAATGGCTGTGTAGGTATGTTAGGTACCTACGATACGCTGCAATGCCCAGCCAAGCAGAGCAGCATCTGGTGCGATTCTCAGATGGCAAGCAATGCTTATTAGCCCTCTAGTGCAAATAGTTGATGCTTGTTTTTGCCAGCCAGTGTAACATGTTTCGAAAACACTGAATGATAGATATAGTACCTTAGACAGTACAGACCAAATTGGAAACAGGATGCCGAGGTCCCTTCTCAACCATCTCGGACTCAACATCGCCCTTACACATTGTGGACTCTCGATCGGTCCATTCTCAACTCTCACTGCAGTCCCTAACCTCATGTTTCACACCCTCTTCAAAGGCGAGGATTTGACCCGACTCGGTGGTGCCACGCACACACGTATTCGTTTATCCACACATACAACCACAATTCTCACTCTACTAATCGCCAAGTCTCACACATCTCACCCACTTACAGAGTTCTTAGCATCGATCCACAGGCTGTTTCTATGTTTCAATTTTTCCTATTCGTCCTCTAACTGGGCAAGCACGAGTCCCAATTCCATTCCCCCTTCCCATTTCCAATAATTCCCTTGGATCCATTCCCATCTTGGGGTTCCGCCTTCCCCGTCGTCGTCCCCGGCTCTAAAAGTCAATTAACTTAAACATCGGCTGCCCCCAAAACCCGTCCCCCGTTTCGCCTTCCCTCCTTCCATCCGTCCTCTCTTCGATGTTATATTTTACTTCCCTCCATCTCGTTTTTGTCCTGTGCCTGTAATACGTCGTGACACATATCTCTCACCTTTCCGAACTTCAACTGCTGGTCTCAAACAACACCATCTTCTGATACACCACAATCAAATATTCCATCAATAGCTCCCGCCGCTTGTCTTTCGCAATGCCTATTCGCAACCCTTTCGCTCGTCGCCCTGGCAGTGTTATCGTTCAAGATGAGAACCAACACCCTGATTCTACCCCTGGCTTCGAGAAAGTCGACACTGTTGGCTCCAAGTCCACCCCCGTTTTAAGCATTCGAAGTCAAGGTCGCGACAATGGGGAATACAAGATGAGCGGTATGTCAACCAACCCTAGTCGCCTCCCGTCTCTCATGGCCTCCCCCTCAACCTCCGCAGTGGGGGGTAAGTCATGAAGAGGCGCATTTGGCATCGTGTCACAAGACCAGAGGAACTTTGCTAATTTGTCTTTGCGCAACAGTTGTCAACGACAGTGGCGTTTATCTTCCTGTAAGTCGGTTTAGCCCCAACGTGCAAAATGTCAGATTTGAAGCTAACGGTCGCAAAGCCATCACCTACTGAGGAAAAGGGCCAGTGGCCTCGGAAGTATCTGTCGACCCGCAACTCGACAGATACTCGAAGCAGTTCCGGCGACATTGAACATTTCTCTATTTCCCGCGAGTCCTTTGATTCCTACCGTCGATCTTTCGTACGTATCTCCTATTATCTGCCATCCGTGAAATCAGATGTCCTTCGCATTTGCTCAGCGCACGACTGACATGAGCAACAGGACATCTCTGCACGATCGCCAATGCCCAACGGTGATTTCCCAACACGCCAGAGCCTTGACTCGGCACGTCTTCCCCGACTACCTAGATCTGCGATCGAGCGATCATTCGAGCAGCCACCAACCGCCGAGGAGCGTTTTGAAGACGTAGGACTGGACGACCATAAGCAGCAGCAACAGCAGCCGGCTCCCCAGGCACAGCCTCAGAAGCGGGGGTTTTTCTCGAAATTCTCCGACAAGGACAGCTCGAGCAATCCTACTGTATCCCGTTTCCTCATGCATGGCCGCAAAAGAGCCCAGAGCGGCCAAGGCTCGGAGCTCACTCCCATGGACAACGCATCTCCGAAGGTGACTGTCTCAGCCGATGGTCAAGAAATGCAATGAGATGCACGATCAAAGTTTGTTCTTCTACATTGTATTAGAGATACCTGGAGTTTTCGTTAATATTCTCGGCGTTTTCGGTTGACTGGGTCGGGATAATGCTAGAATTGCATTCGCTATGAGACCTGGGTACACCTTGATGGGAGAATCAAGGATTGGATGAGTGCATTGTGCAAAGAGCTCTGTGGGCTGACTGTGGAGTTGTAATGCCCAGACAGACAAGCAACATTTGCTGTAGGGTCGTGTCCCTCGGAATGGAACGAATATGAGCTACATAATGATAATGAGAAGATATATATGTTTCAGTGTACCTGCATAAAGTTTCCATTGGTCGCTGGTCATCAGGGTGAGGACGTTAGAATCGATAAGCTATAAACTCTCGGCCTCGGTTACAGAAGTATAAACTGAGTGGATGACTTGAGTTCAACGAGCAACCGATTCAGTGTTATATTGTCAAAGTTGATGCGATATTGATTGGATAATTCTGGTTCAGCTTATTGAACATAGCAGGACCTTGCCATAGGGCGTGGTAATATAGCCGATGACGGAGCCAGTCCAGTAAAAGAAACCGTAGAAATTGTTCTAACGGCTGCATCCACTTGTTATTGCGTGCTTGTCATTGCTAGATTCCTTTTAGAGGCCCCGCTCTATCACCCAGAGGGCGCCATACATGGGCAGATATAGAAAACAGACGAGGCCGAATTTAACCTGGCAATCCGTTCTCTGCGAGTCAACAGCTTTGAGGACATGTCAATTGGGCTGACACCCCAGTCTATATTAGTATCAAAGATTGCCCCTCACCTAGACTGCTATTATATCAATCAACTTTACAAATTCCTATCAAATTCTCAAAACAACTGAAAAAAAACAAAGACGGGAATCATGGCCTCTGACGAAGTTCTTACCAACCTCAAGGACGTCTCATCGGTACCGGACGGTACAGCCGGGGCCCGGACCGGACTTGATAGCTCCCTCGCCAGGCTGTCACTGGCATCCCGCGCTGTTCATGCCGATGAGGGCATCCAGTCACACAGAGCCGTTGCGCCGGCTATGCATGTCAGCACGACTTTCAGGTACAGCAATGACCCTGATGCGCTGAAGGCCTGGGATAATACCGATGTAAGTCTGCATACTTCCTTGTCTTGGTTTGCTGCAGGTGTCTCCAGAAGAGACTACCAGATGGTCGGCAACATTATAACTGAAGTCGACCCAAGACCATCATGAAACCCTTTTCTCCCGTAACGAGTTTCTGCTAAACTTGTGTAGCCCAACAACCCTTTGGACTCTCATGTCTACTCTCGGGCGACTGGTCCCAACACCACTCGTCTCGAGGCAATTCTCACATCTGTCATTGGCGCTCCAACGGTTACTTACTCTTCTGGTCTGTCTGCTTTCCACGCCATGTTGGTCCATCTGAACCCTAAGCGCATTGCAATTGGAGATGGGTACCACGGCTGCCACGGAGTGATCAGCATTCTCTCTCGCCTGACAGGTCTCAAGCAACTGCCATTGGACTGTGCTGTTGAGGACCTCGAGCCCGGCGATGTCATCCATGTCGAGACGCCCCTGAACCCTACTGGAGAGGCGCGCGATCTTGCAGCATATGCAGAAAAGGCCAAGAGAGCTGGTGCTTACCTGACTGTTGATGCGACATTTGCGCCCCCTCCGCTGCAGGATCCTTTCAAGTATGATGTTGATGTTGTCATGCATAGCGGGACAAAATACTTTGGTGGTCACTCCGATATGCTCTGTGGTACGCTGTCTGTCAACCGCAAGCACGAAGGCTGGGAACGTAGTCTCCTCAACGACCGCCTTCTTCTTGGTTCTGTTATGGGTAGCTTGGAGGGGTGGCTGGGTATCCGCTCGCTTCGGACTCTCGAGCTCCGCGTCCAGCGCCAGAGTGCTACAGCTACTGCACTTGTTGCCTGGTTGGCTGAGCAGCAGCGTGATCCTTCATCTGCGATCGGCGCCCTTGTCGAGCGTGTCCAGCACGCCAGTCTTCAGCCCGAAGCATCAATCGAGGGTAGCTGGTTGCAGAAGCAGATGCCCAATGGCTACGGCCCTGTTTTCTCGGTGTATCTTCGCGATGGAGATATCGCTAAGCGACTGCCATCCAAGTTGGAATTGTTCCACCATGCCACTAGCTTGGGTGGTGTTGAGAGTTTGATTGAGTGGCGTGCGATGACTGATCCTAAGATTGATAAGAGACTTTTACGGGTGAGCATCGGTGTTGAAGGTCTTGAAGATCTTAAGAACGATTTGCTCCAAGGCCTGGAGGCTTTGAGAAAGGAAAAGGAGAAGGGAACAGAGAATTAGAACAGACAGTCATTTTTTTTTGGATAGAAGGAAGGAAAAAAGAAACGTTTTGTTTATAGAGAAAATAAAGAATGCATCATGAAAATGAATATCCTCTACAATGGCTTGCATTGTTTAAATGACTTGTCCATGAGACTGAGAATGTCATGATAAATCAGGTATATACAGACCATAAAGAAAAGAGAGAGAGAAGATTTGTATGAAAGATCACAACACTGGTCTAACACAATCAAAGGAATGACTGTCCGATCTAAAAAGGAAACGCCATACAAAATGGGGGAAACATATAAACCCAACATGACCCATATATGTATGTAAGTCAGGCTGTGTTAGAGAGGAGAGAGAGGAGAGAGAGAGAAAGATCTGGAAAGAAAGGTAGATAAGGGAGAAAAACAAGAAAGAAATCGAGACGCAATGAAGAGTACTATGCTCTTCTAGAAGCCTTTTCTCCGGAATTTGTCAGTTAGCGCTTGGGATCGTTGCTTAGCATTGAAGTTGAAGTGCTGTCGAAACTTGGGTGTTGATGTGACCAAGCTCATTCTTGAGGGGGTAACCAGAGGCCAAACCAATTGCTGAGTGGTTTGTACTTGACTTCCCGGCTACGGAGATACAAGTCAGTAGGGGTTTCCTGCTATTGTGAGTTGTAGACGTACCGTGAGCGATCATTGTCGGCAAACGAGCCAACTCCTCGAAGATCTTGCTCGGCTGACCTGGGCTCCATGTGTCGATAGTCCACGGATCTGTTGTCAAGGCGGTAAGATGTAGAGCCTCGAGAGGAAGCTGGGGGAGCATTGTGATAGTGGCTATCATGCGGTCGGTGGGGGATAGAAGTCCTCGAAGGCGGGGCGAGAAAGTCATTGGCCACAGCGTGTGTCTGATATGGAGGTGCTTCCTGAGTTCGAGAGGGAAATGTGGGAGAGTCACTGAAGGCGGGAGAAGTCGTGGGAGTTGTGAGATCAGAAACAGCATCCACTACATTCGAGGATGGGTCATGGCTGTACTGTTGGCCGAGCCACTGGTTAACCATGGTCTGGCGTCTGTCGTAGGCTTGGGGACTTGGTCGCCTCCAGGCCTGGGACTGGTCTCTTGGTGATGTGTTGGCAGATGTTGTTCTCTGGTAGTTAGAATCCCAGCTGCCTCTGACAGCCTCGTCACTCCAGTTCCTAGAGCTTTCTGTGTTGTAGGTCTGGCCGTAGTGGCGCTGGGGGTGGTCTTGTCGACGACTCATGGTTGCTGAGAGTGAGGTCGTTGATGATTGGTCAATTGCGTGTAAGTTGTTTGAGTGGAGAGTTTGTAACAGCGATGGTCAAGTACCTAGAACGGCGGGGTACCTGTGGACTGAATTGAATTGTTTGATGAAGTGAATAGATGAGTAGTAGACTAAGCTGAGTCTGAATGCATCTTTTTTAAGCATGATGTATTGAATTTTCCTTGACATATGTCACTTCCTATTGTTTGGATGCCTCTACTCAAGCATGCTTCAACTGAGTTGCGGTCGTGGCTGAAGCTTCCCTATTCGCGGGGACGCCGGGAGGCCGCAGCTTTCGACCAATGAGAAACGCCCGCTCCTCGGAACCCCAGCGATAGTTGATCGTGGCCGTGCAGGGGGGACTCTCTCTCCGAGGGCCTGGGACCCCCTGGAGCCGTCAGCAAGCTTACTGGATGCAGGCTAGAGTCAGAACGTTATGCAGGGAATTGGAAACAAAGACGTCAGTCTTCGCAGGCCGCCGAAGTTGCTAGCCTCATTCCGGTGTCAAAATTAGATGGCTTTCCTAGGATGGATAGAGGGAGGCCCTGAGGCTCATCTAATCCAATCTCCAATGACAGGGACAAATTGGCTATGGGAAGTAAACTCACCGACGTCACGCGATTTATTCTTGATCAACAGTTGTTTTGTCAAGACTGTTGAGGGAGCCTGTCGATGCATCATGAGGTCTTTCATAATGCGAGTAGACTAACCTCGATTGCTATGGGACAGCTTTGAATCTGAAACCATTCCAGAAACAGAACAGGTGACATGGAATACAGAGCATACTTTATGATCACAATTGTCTCGGATACAAACGCCCAGGCATCATTCACCCCTTCGGCCGTCACAAGTCTCTTGCAGCCCAGCTCGTATCATGACTCTCGGAGGCCACCAAAATCAGGGCATCATAAAAACCCAACAGCAACAAAACTTGACACAATCACTGATACTCAGTACTCTCGGCAAGAGCGCCTCCCGATCGGCTATAAGTGAACCGGCCAGCTAATTCAGCCATCCCGTATACCAATGCAGCCACATGCTGCATCATTAAAACTCCGAAACAATCGCTTAGAGGGCCTAGGAGCTGTCTCAAGCGCGATAGGGCTGAGCAATGAACCATAATCGCGCTTGAATGCTCAAATTAGGATTATAAACAGGGTTTAGGCGCTTGATAACCTTCGCCAATCTTGGAGCTGATTGCTAGAAGCGTAACCGATGTGCTTGGCTTGCTGCGCTTTCAGAAACGATCAACTGTGCCACTGGGCTGTGTAGGTGTCAGCCCTGTGCACGTTCCCCCCATGATGTTTTTCTGTGCCGCGTCAAGCGCAGGGGTTTGGCACTAGGCTCGTCTTTCATTGGCCGAAAGAGACGCCGCAGAAGCGCGAGCGGGAGCGTCAAGGGCCAGCCCAGGGTCTTGTATGCATGTATGAGGCGCCAT